TTTATTGCAAGACAATTATCTATATTAATAAGAATGTTAATTTTCCGAGTCTGCTATAAACTCGGAAACTACTAAATCGATTGCTTTCAAATTTTCACACAACGTTGCCTTTGACTCAAAGCATGTTTTTTGTCAGAAAATCGTACAAACCACGAACGACGTAGTTTCAGCAACGGTAAAATCATTATTTGTTTCGTTGCCGGCCCGGGTTTGTTTTTAGTTGATTGGCCATTTTTGACTGCTGAGCAGGACTGCCAATAAGTGCCTTTCCCCCCATGATTCAGATATTTATATGACGCGTTGTTTTCACATTTTGCAGAGTTGTTTACTTATATACTTACACAACTATGGGTAAATTGTTCCTGTCAATAATATTAATTTTATACTAATTGTCAATCTTGGCTATTTGTGTTCGTGTTCCTTTTTTTTTTTTTTTTGCTTATGTTTTGCTAGGTTTTTTATTCTCACCTCAGCTTGGGTTTTCAATCAGGCAGCCCTGCTGTAAACCTCACACATCTTCGTCAATCTGCAGACACGTCTCTATTTCTTTTATATTGTCACACAGCGTTGCATTCCAATACATTCGTATTGTTACATAGCAGTGTCGCACACCAACACGGGTGCTATTTGCTTTTAGCTGATTGGCCACTGTTTGCGTAACATTGAACTTCAAATTATTATATAATTTCATTTCTACTATATTTTCAAGTCCTTGGAAGCGTAGGTGTAAATATTCCGCCTGTCGTGCGCGTAACGGGCGTTTGAGTTCCCGTTGGGTGACATTTTTTCCCAGCCTCTAACTGGGCGGCTGGCACGTTGTGTTGTGGTTTACAACTAGACTGCGATATCTGCGCCTTTTTCACTCTGTTTTGGGATTTACAGTTAGCTTGCGATAGCAGCGACGTGATGCTCAGTGGTCATGTCATAGGTAATCGTTTGCCCTTGAAAGGGCGGTTGGCATGCTGTGTTGTGATGTAAAGCTAGTCTGCGATGTCTGAGCCAAACTCTGAAGTCTTCAGTAGTATAGTTGTAAGTATTCCGCTCTTTACGCGGGTCACCGTGTTCGATTCAACGCTGGGTGCTAATTTTTCTTTTTCACTTACAATGGCGTTTGGCACGTTGTGTTGTGGTTTACAAATAGGCTGCGATATCTGCGCCTTTCGTCCTAAGACATCCGAATTTAGTACAGTCCTAATTAGCCTCCCCGCGACGCTTCACTCGATCAAACACTATTTATTGATGACAGACGATGGTAACTAAGACGGCTTACAGTCCAGTTTAGTTTTGTTCGACACGGATGCCAAGGTTAATTACAAATCGTCCTTTCGGAGAGGAAAGATGACGGGTGCGGTTTTTATTTCCGCTTTTTTTTTTTTTAGTATAGTGTACTTTTTTAATCACGTAATATTATTGTGGGTTCCATCACTGGTCAGGTGATAAAGTTTTTTTTTTTAAATGTCGGGGGCAAAATTAAGCTAAACAGCCCGTGGCGACAGCATGCGGCGCTAACTCATCTGGCTCCACCGACCTGCACAGACAGTGGTGACTTTTTTGGGCGTTGTTGTAAAGGTGGTGGTGATAGTGGTAGCAGTAGTACTTGTACTCGATGGGTGATGTGGTTGCTGTTACACTGGCCACATTTACTTCTCTATACAGAATATTGCTACTCATTTTAGTCTGGGTGGACATGGATGACAAGCTCAATTTAAATGCAGTATTTTGTCAGGCGATGACTTTCCCATCCTTCGGAGAGGATGATATGATTGGGGGGGGGGGGGGTGACAAATGGGCTTGATGACAGAGACTGTTAACCGAGAGAGCCTAAAACATTATTTTACATTTCTCATTTCTAAACTATATCTATTTTAATAATTTAGTCAGGTGATGATTTTCCAATTCTTCGGATAGGGAGATATGATGAGGGGAGGGGGGGGGGGTTGGGGGGCAGTTTGTTGGTAATTTAGAGGTATAGTAGTCAGCTTTACTGACAGCTGTTTAACCACACAAGATGCTTTAGCCTGCGATAAACAAATAAACTTGTTTTTTCAACCCTAACAATGCACTTTATTCGACCACTTATATAATCATTCACTTATATGTTGCGTGTTCCAGAGTCGGCATACCAGACTATCTCTCGATCTGTGCAGTGACTGATATTAACCATATTAGACAAATGCGCTCTTTTTTTCAGTTTAGCATTCTGGGCCACAGCAACGCGTTGCCGGGTACAGCAAGTTGAGTTAAAAGATTTAATAAATAAACAAATGCCTCCTAGCAAAATAAATAAGGCATGTATATGGTTGCATGTCGCCCAAATGGCGACGTATAATGTCACTTACACATTATGTGATGTATCTTAATGAAAAGAACGAAAAAAATGCGTCTGCCTTTCATTTCACCTAATCAAAGCAATTCACAGCCATTGTATTATACCAGATTCCTTTGATTGGCTTGAATGGCGTGAATAGAAAGACGCCATTAACGTTTTATTACGAATTAATCAGCTAGGTATCTGCTGAGTCAGTCTATAAATTAGCGTTAAATAGGTCAGTGGTATACTGGGGTTGTATATATCTTTACCTAGTAGCTACTATTATGATTAGATTCACCATGCAACCAGTTCGATCGTAAGGTTTCTGGCCATCTTGCATGTGAGAATGGGTGCTTACGTAAGTTTCTAAAAAAAATCTGGCTGGTGTGAAAACAGAGGGATGGGGAATGGGGGCAGCTAAGAACTCTATCTCAAATCCATTCAACATTCCATCCGTGCAACATCTGTCCTGTCCATCTAACGTAGTTTCAGAGGGAAAAGAAAATGATTTCAAACTCTTTTAATCGCATAAACAAATTCTTCATTAAAAAAAAAATTATACATAAAAAACCCGTTTTAGATCTGTTCTCTCTGTTTCTCTCTCTCTCTCTCTTTCTCTCTCTCTCTGTCTCTCTCTCTCTCTCTCTCTCTCTCTCTCTCTGTCTCTCTCTTTTCCTCCTTTTCCTCTCGTCCATCCATCCACTCACCAAAAACAATGTTTTAATATATGTCTTCTTAAACTAGTGAAGAACTTCCTAGGCTTTTAGACCTGTTCTTACATTCAGCTTGGACGCGGCCCATTTCCGCCTTTCCCTGAACCCTTCCAGGAGTCGCGACATCCTGCGAACCCCTTCCCCTGATAAAGAATGGCTGGTCCGGAAGGTCAGTGTCGAGGCTCTAGCTATAACAGAATTTGGCTTAGTCAACATTTTACAGCACGTACGGGCACCACACCCTCACAGAGCGCGTGCTGGCATGTGATTTTGTTCTCCCTCTCTTTTTTGACCTTCAGCAGACATGCAACCCCATACTCGGTTTATTGATTTTTTTTTTTAACTATAACGTATTTATTTTTTAACTCTTTAGTACTTAACTATTCCAATGGATATAGAAATAGTTCATTTTTAAAGATTCATGCAAACCGGGGCCTTGTAATATTACATGCCTGCTGGGACTAACATGTTGTCCATGTAAACTGGGTGTTCCTAAGTTGTATTAACGAGATTTTACTATACTTGGATACTAGGTTAGGAACGAAGTCCGAAATAATCTGTATGATTAACACTCTAGCATTATGCCAGTGCTCTCAACGTTCCTAATACCACGAATTTTTTTAAATACAATTTCTCATGCTGTGGCGACCCCCAAACATGCAATTATTTTTGTTACTGCTTCATAACTTAAATGAATCTGTGTTTTCCTAGGGTCTTAGCCGACCTCGGTGAAAGGATTTTTCGACCCCAAAAAAGTATCATGACCCACAGGTTGAGAACCGCTGCATTATGCCATTTTCGTCTTCTTCATTATCTTCTTCTTTTTCTTCTCCTCATCCATTTCCCCCTTCTTTGCTTCTTCTTCCTCTCCCCCTTTTTCTTCTTCTACTTCTTACTATTTTTCCTTTTCTGTATTCATCAAAAGACCTGAGTTGTACTATGCCTGTTTAAAGCATGGCTGCGATATTTGCACCTTTTCGTCAGCACAACCAGTTTATTCAGGCATGTGTTGTTTGGTTTAGCCTTTCTAGTTTTACCCTGTTAAAAGCTTCACTCAACTCTTATTTCATTTGTTATAGAATTATTTATTATTACTTTCATTTTAAACAGTTAAAGGTATCCCATATTGGCATCATGTCTCATGATGGTACAGAGAACCTGGCATATTAACTCTCTTTTTTTCTTCTGTGCTCATCTGAGGTTCTAATTGAATTTTATTATTCCCTAATTTTAGCCTGGCTGCAATATTTGCACCCTTTGGACAACACACTCGGCTTTTGAAGCATATATTTCCAGCTTAGCCTTCTTGGTTTTACTCTGTAAAAAATTTCACTCACCTTCTTACATTTGTTATCGAATTATTATTATGACTTTTATTTTAAACGGGAGCCTCTGTAGTGTAGCGGCTAGGCGCTCACATGCAGATCTGAAGGTCGTGGGGTGAGCTTCAAGGTCAACACAACCTTAAAAAAGTACCAGGTGGAAAATAAAATGCTGACCACATAACCCACCGAGTACCAGGTGAAAAATAAAATGCTGACCACATAACCCACCAAGTACTAGGTGGAAAATAAAATGCTGACCACATAACCCACCAAGTACCAATTGGTCTAAAAAAATATAGGTCCAGCCCTGTGTGCCCAGTACGCCTAAAGGCATGGAAAATCGTCCTTTACTGACATATGGTGTGACTCAGTGACTTAGAATTAGGGGATGTTCCTTTAGTACTGAGGTTTGATTACTATGGAGAATATTTTGTTTAAAAAAAAACTGCCTACATTGTTTTTACACAGTAGCACGAGAGTTGCACCATAGAAGAGATTAGGGCCAACACATAATATTCCCAGAAGCAGCAATAGGCACATTGTAACCAACCTTCATTGTTTAGACAGCACACAGAAGCAAGAAAGCAACAATTCATAAATGCAAGGCATCAAAAGTAAACCGTTTATTCTTATACTTTTTTGCTTGATTAGGATGGATACATGGGAATGTACGCAAAGTACTTGGTCCACAACTGCAAAAGTCCTCCGCCACCAGAAACAACAGCTAGAGTTTCTAAACAACTCAACACACAAGCCTTCACCATCAAAACGGAGAAGAAGGCAACATAACTCTGGTAAGCATATTTAAACAAACAAATTTTAAATAAAGAAAACACTACCAATAGATTGCAGAATTTGCTTCCATGAATTGCATTAATCTGAATTCTTTACACCTTAGCCAGCCATGGATTATTACTTACTTTAATAAGAAGAATAAAAAGAAGAGAATTCTTTGCACACCACGAAGTGAGTTAGGCTGCACTCCAACAAGCCTGTGGCTGAGCACATATATTATGATTTCAACAGGCATTTTTGTCATTCTTGATTTTCCTAGCCATTGACCTTGACTAGTCTCCTAGGCAGACACATTTGTTTCTCACTTGATCTTATCTGGTCCTTGTCCTGTCTTGCATGGCAAAGTGGCATGCCATTGGCCTCGCACTCTGAAGGTCAAGTGATTGTTTCTTGTGTTGCATTATTTAGTTCACAAGAGTAATTTTTAGGTAGGACTCTGGGGATCATTACTGGAACTACAGAGCTAATACTTTGTGAAGCCTTCTCGGCAGGTGGCTAGTCTTTTTGCAGAGAAACACCAAGCCATATGGAATAAAATCTACTGCATTGAAGTCAGTCATTTTGACTTTAATATCAACATGGTAGACCTTACCAGTGGTAATGCTACCTTCAGAATCAAAACATGCACGCCCCAGTACCACTTAAATGTTGAGACACAGCATAGGAAAGATTAAATTCTACGTGCTATACCTGCCAGTCTTTTGCACATTGCCAGTGTATAAAACATACACCATATGGGAACCACTATCTTAACATGATGATCATATACTGAACATTACAATCTGTTGGCTAACACATAAGAAGGATAATGCTTGCTTGTTTTCACACACAGTCATATTATTAGATTTTTTCTCTGAGGAGGCAAAATAGCAGCGTCAGCAGAGACAGTGAAATACAATTTATAATTGGACACTTTCAAACTCTTGAGTTTTAGCTGCTGATGTAAAAAAAAAAAAAAAACTTAGGTGTTACTGAAAGATAGTGTTGGAGTTGTGTGTGTGTGTGTTTTTTTTTTTGAAGGGGAAAATAAAATTTAAAGTTTAAAAATGAATTATTGATTAAACGAAATTCTATTCTTTGCAACAAAATGTCATCTCTTACCTGACACTGCAATTATTATTGTAGAAGTGTTAGCTGTTTATTTTGTACAATTTATAGTTAAGTTGAATTGCTGAAAATGTTTTTGCTAGGTGAGTGCCTGCACTGTAAATTGTTCAGTTATACAAATAAATGGTCAGTGTCTTCTTCTTTTTCTGCATCCAACCTTAGAAGGGAGGGTGCCATGTTGTGTGGGGGTTTACAGCTAGTCTATATGTGTGTGTGTATATATATATATATATATATATATATATATATATATATATATATATATATATATATATATATATATATATATATATATATATATATATATATATATACATACACACACACACATATATATATGTGTGTGTATATGTATATATATATATGTGTGTGTGTATCTATACACACACAGTAAAGTAAAGGACCCTTTTCCATGCCTTAAGGCATGAAGGCATGGAGAACTAGACCTATATTTTATAGATCAATCTGCACTTGTTGGGTGATGTGGTCAGCCTCACACCATGTATGTGTGCGCATGCATGCATTCGTACATGCATTCAATTTCTCTTTCTCTCTCTCTCTCTCTCTCTCTCTCTCTCTCTCTCTCTCTCTCTCTCTCTCTCTCTCTCTCTCTCTCTTTCTCTCTTTTTTTAAATAACTTTAAATCAGTTGCATGGGGTTTAAGATTTTTGCCTGTTTTATTTTTGCCTCATCCTCAAAGTGTTAATCCTCTGCAATCCTGGAAGAGAAATACTACCTCCCCGACCCCATTACATGATTTTTCAGAACAACTTAGCGGCCCATCCAAATTTTTTTGCGGCCCACTAGTTGAAGAACACAGGTCTAGAGTATGTAAAACTTACACAGACTGCATGCCACATTAAACATGCCGGCCTTCCAGTGTGGGTTCTGGAGTCCCATTTAGGGGAAGAGAGGAATAGACCCACAGCTCCTTAACAAGCATGTCATTTTAAAAAGGACCTTTTTACACTCCTTCAGGCATGTTGAGCATTTAGGGCTAGACCTATATTTGATAGAAATAGGCACTCGGTGGGAGATGTGGTCATCACGATGTCCAGTCTTGACCTGGTATCCGTTTAAAGTTGGGTCGAACTGGGAGCGAAGGTAATTGTTTTAAAAATGTCAGCCCAATCAGGACCTAAACTCACAACCTTTAGATCCACGGCGAGTATCTAGCCGCTAAACCATGGCATTCCTATGTCATTATAGGTGACTAATTAAGGATTTACTTATATTGGATGTGATGAGCTGAAAGACACAAATATTGCAAGCTAGCTGTAAACTACAACACAACTAGGAAACCACTCATTTGAGGGCAACTTCCTTCTTTTTCTTCTTCAAGTTCACCAGCTGTAAGCTCCGGCAGAAAGTTCTGGTTATTTGTCCGCCTCTGAACTTTTATCTTGTTCCAAAAAATTACTATTGTGGGCACATCCGTTTTAACAATATGACTTATTAGTATGCAGTTTCTTGGTTCCTTGCCTCTCAGACAGTTACACTCCAACTTCAAAGAGTGGGGGAAGGATCAAGACAGAGGAAAAGAGAGCTTGAGACAGCAAAAGAGAGAGAGAGACGGAGAGATAGAAAAGAGACATATGCTACCACAGTAAAAGCACCTCTATTATGAGAGAGAAAGAGGCTACCACAGTAAAAACACCTCTTTTGTTTAAATTCATATTGACCATTATTGAATTCTTTAGCGGTCGCCACAGAGTCAGCTGTAATAAACTAAATAAAAGCTTTCCTAAGAAGTAACATTTTCTTTAAGTGACCTGTCAAGAACATAAAGAACACCAGAGATTGTTTTATAGTCTGTCTTCTTTTTGGAAACTGCATTTAATGTGATCTGGCGACTGATATATGATGGGCTATAAAAAGAATCTATAGATGTTTGAGCTAACAACTGAGTTGGTGGTCATAAAATTGATGAGGAAATCCAGTTTTATATCAGGCGGCATGGCTGTAGGATGGATTAATCTTTTCAAATTCCTTATGAGCAAAAAATGCATGAATGTTCATAAGAATTGAGAATCATTTCCCTCTGCAACCAGTAGTAGTAGTAATAGTTTTTTTTTTTTTTTTAAGCCAGAGCTGTTTGGGGTTGGTGTCTACAGCTTAGGGATTGTGAATGCAGTTTCACAAACCTGACATATCAGGGTTAAAATTCAGCTGCAGATTATTTTGCAGCTGACTGCTTTGCATTGGTTTTTACATTTAGTGTTGTATCCCAACCATTGCCACTCCTATGAGAAAGGAGGAGGGTTGGGTGTGGGGCCAACTCCCCAACCCGGTAACAAAAATGTGTTGATAGAGAAACATGCAGGAAAGGATGCCAGTCTGGTAAACAAGAGATGGCAAAGTTTCTGGACTGGATTCCATCCATGATATTGACATTATTGCACAGGAGAGGAAAGAAGAAGTAGACTGTAAGCCCTATGGTACATATAATGGCACAACAGGACAATGATGATGATAGAGATTAGTGTTGTACTGATGAAAAAGCAATGTCCTTACCCACACAGGACTGCAGGTTATACCAGCAGTTACAAGTGCCCCAGTTATTACTTCTTTTGAAGTTGAACAAGGTGACTGGAATTTTTCCTGTTAGCTTGCTATCTTGTGTTTCTTTGAGCAAGATTTTAATCTTTGAGACAACATATCAAGTGGTTTGAACATGACATCAAGACTTCCAGCAAATAGTACACCACAGAGAGCCCTATCGCTTAGACATAACAGAAACAGACCCAGAGGTCGACCACGCAAGCGATGGACAGATAGAATATCTGAGGCCTTAAATACCAGCAACTTTGCAGCACATATCTAGGCTCGCACTTTATGCTTCTTTAAAACTTGACACTGAAACGCAGGACAGGACTGGAGAAGAAAAAGAAGCTTGCCATCCAGATTGCAGTTTTGTTTTCTCAGGGTGATCAAAGCTTCAACCTTCATATAGCAGCTTAGAGGCAGAAAAACAAAAGGAATGAAGAAAGAAAGCAATGGCAAACTACTTGACATAAAGTTGTCTATTAATACCACAAAACCATCAGTAAATGTGGGGCTGTTTGCAATATTCTGAAAAGAAACTAACTGGTTTTAGTCAGTAGGGAACATTAGTTTGTTTTGGAATAGAACTAGTTTATTTCATATTCTGCAATACTTTACCCAGTTAAATCACATTTTTTTAAAAACTTTCATTGTAAGCAATGTTACTGCCATTTTAATGTGAAGTGTTTGGCTTTCACGCAAATTGTGGTAACCAGTTCCCTACCTCATTCTCATTCCTTCTAAGACAGTATTCTAAGAGAATTCTAAAAAAAAAAATTCTTTGGTACCCATTTTAACTCTCCCAGACCATTTTTGTTACTTATGAAAATCTAAGTCTTTAGGTCCTTTAGAGTAAACCTTTTTGAGTTTTAATTGGACACCAGTGAGACAGAAAGAGTTAAAGTAACAAATGGGATGGAATGGTTTAAAATAAAACATTTACAGGTTAGTAGTAGTAGTTCAGAAATATGTACTCTGTGTAGTCACCTACAAATGCATGGTGAGTTGCTTGGTATTGAAAGAGTTAATAAAGCTGGCTAACCTCTTTGTTGCACTGGTAAAATAAATCCTTCTCATGCTGGCGATTGAACCCAGTCCACCGGCATGTCAAGTAAGTGCAGTAACCAGTCTGTAGTAGTAATGTAAACAACCGTATCCTGTTCAATCCATCCAGGTTATAATTGGGATATATAAAGTTCTTTCTGTTTCAGTAATGGATATTTATGCTTGTTAGTCATGTTTGGTTATTCAGTATTGTACATAGCTTATGTATCAGTTGTACAAAATTCTAGCGGTGTAACTGTCAAGTTCGATATATTTTAAGTGTACTTTAAAACAGTTATAGTAAAACGCTATGCCCACCACAGCTGAAGGAATAGTAAGCATTTAAAATAAATTTGTTTTATTCACCATTCTCTTTAATGTGATGCCTACCTATCAAGTCGGCATGTGTGGCTTAGGCATTGTGAACGCGCTTGGTAATGTCGGTGTGCCAGGTTTGATCCCAACTGCGGGCAGTTTGACAGCTGAATGTTTTGCGCTGGTTTTGACAGTGGCCACGTGAACTGACCGTTCAGTAAGCAGTGGCAAACTACTGAAAATAAAATGTGCCTAGAAAAACCACAACAGCCACAAAATGCTGGTGTTGGTTCTGCAATGTCATGTAAAGGATATGCAACTAACTTTAACTACATATGAAAGGCTTTGTTGTTTGTGTTTCCATCCAGTTTCGTCTACGTAATGAAATATTTTAAAAATAACCTTGGTGTTGGTAATGAAGAATAATTCATTTAATTAGCTGGTACCCTAAGGTGAAAAAAAAAAAAAAACAGACAAAATCAATTCACAGAATTCTCTAATTTGTCATCCTTCCAGGCATACACTAATTTTAGACTCCTCAGATTTTTCCAAATCAATAATCTCAAAACCTTGGGGGTTGGCTTAGCCAAAATAACCTGTTTTGTGGTTGCTAATTTTCTCCTCTCCTTTTTTTTTTCTTCTTTCTAGTGAGCGATTATTTGAAAATTTAGCCACAAAATAACACACAGTAAAAATACATAAACTGAATATTTTGTTTTACTGGTTAGTATCGAATAAGTTGTTTAAAAAAAAAAAGTGCTATTAGGCCTTTCACGACTTAACTTTCTAGGATATTTTTGGTATTTCTTGGATATTCACTTAGGCTTGATCGACCTGGGAGCCAAAGTCGGTTATAAAAATACTGCTTGATGCAGACTGAACCCAAGATTTTTTAGCTGGCAGGCATGTGTCTGGTAACTGAATTTTACTGCTCTCAGTAAATTAATCCTTTTGTTGGTGAATGCTAAAAAAATGTATAAATTCTTGAGAATTCCTAAAATACCTAAAAACAAATAACCATATTACACAGGTCACTAAAACATTTTTTGCAAGTTTATATCTACAATTCTCAAAAAAGAAAAAAATTCTAAACTCTCCATGACCCATCCAGTTGATACAGAAAATCATATTGCCACCATTTTTTTTTGCTCACCTTTTGACCCACACTGAAATTATTTTAACTCCTTAGAGCCAAACAATTTTTATTTACAGTAATAACTTATAACAATGTAACCAGCTGAAGTACCACCTTCTAGGAACTGAAAGATTTAAATATTTAAATAACCTAATTTGTATGTATGGAACTTACATGTTATTTTTCTTTTTCTGTCTTGCTGCTATCTTATTGTAATGTAAAATTTTACACAGCAGCCAACCTGCATTGTGAAGACTCAGTACATATTTTTCCATATGAATTTAACTCCAAGTTGATCTTCTGTCTATTATCCAGTATCCGATATACAAGAGAATCAAGTTCCACAAATAGACATAGAAGGGGACCACGTACCAAATATCAAACTGCTGTGTGGAGCTGATTTACTAGAATCTTTTGCTGTTCCTGGTCTGTGGGAGGAGGAAGATGTGAGATGCCTATTTCACTGTTGTGTTTCAATTGCTATTTATTTGTTTGTTTTGTTCTGTTAAATTAAGATTATCATCGTTATAGTTTGGATCTGTTCATTTGTACTGTAAGAGTCTGTAACACTCTTATAGAAACCATTCAGGAGGGCACATCTTTATCTTCATGTTCGCTGGTGGTAAACTCCAGTGGAAAGTTCTGGTTGTTTGTCCACTGTGGTCTTGATCCAGAACGTGAGTTTTGCATGCACATCCATTTTACAGATCTGGCTTTTTCATATGCAGACTTTTGGTTATTAGGCCTCTGAATTGAAAGAAACACCCCTAATTAGTCACCTCCTACAACCTGCTTGTTAGGCGGGCAGTGGGTTTTTTCTTTGTTCTCTCAAATGTAGCCTAGAACCCACTCTGGGAAAACCAGTGGGAACAATTGAAGGCGGTCAAGCAAGAAGCAAACAGCAAAAAATGACAGTATTGGAGAAAAATTATGAGAAGGAATGGACTCGATAATTTAGGAACAGCTGGCAAAATTGATGGAGAGCAAGAGGCAGGCAAAGAGATAAATACCTGGATGGCCTGGCCAGATGGATGGGATGAGAGCCAGAAGAAAAAACTTTGAACAGATCTGTGATTCTTGTAATCGAGTGAGATGGTGAAACATGACAGCCTACGCTTACTGGCATGGCACAATATGATGATGATTGTGCTCATTAATGTTTAGCATCTTTGTATTAATGTGTCTAGCTTGTCTGTTGCGGGGCTGCCAAAAAAATCTTGGGAATAGTACCAGATTTTATTTGAAAAGGAATGGTACCAATTTTTGTTATGTTTAATTTAAACAAAAGTTTAAATGAATATCTTTAACCCTTTGGAGACAGAGCCTTTTTTTGAGTTTTGGTGCCAAGATGACGGAGCCTTCAGGAGGGGATTCTCATAGTTTATACACAAAAAATAATACAAAATAAAGTGTTTAATTAACATAAACAAAACTATATATATATATATATATATATATATATATATATATATATATTCATGTAGAAAATTTAATGAACTAACAGAATATTTATGATTCAATCTGAAATCTCAACATTTATTCAAATTAACTATTCTGATTTGCATAATTTATGCAAACAGTTTTTTTTAAAACTTGGGAACAAACATAACTAGCCTGAAAAATCTGGGTGAATTTTTTTATGGGCGAAGCTTCAATAAGTCCTAACACCTGTATTTTGGGAAGTAAGGCCCTTGGAGGCCCTTCAGACATATCTGGCACATGGTTCTACTCATTTTCCTGCCTTCAGCCATGTTTCGGTTGCTATGGCGCAACAGTCTTCTTTGCCATTTTTGGGCATAGGTAACCCCAGAAAAAAATCAATGTAAAATTACAGAACACATCAAGCTTTATTGAAAACCATCAATAAACAGCCCACATGTGCAAGAATTGCAAGAAGCAGTATGATTGGCTGGTACGAAAACCTGCCAGCCAATATCAAGGCTTCTATTATATAGGGCCAACAGATTGGCCCAGTCGCCCTTTTTGGCTACTTTGTGTTGGGCCAATATTTCGGCTGCGTCGCCTCCAAAGGGTTTTAAAAAACAAACATGCGTGCACGCGCGCGCACACACGCACATACACACACACATATTTCTTAGTGCTGTTAAACTCTTTTTTTTTTTTTTTTGCCTTTTGTTTTCATATTGTAATATTTCTGTCAGTTTCTCCATCTTTAACTACATGATAGGTATATGACTCCATATCTTGGAGTGGGATATCATTAAGGAAAACCAGACTACATATCGAACCTCATCAGATAATATTCCAAAAGAGTTAGATGCACATTCCCAATGCGGCCAACCTTCATAGGGGAGAAAGCGCACACATTTTTTCTATGTATTTACATTTTTTAAAAATCCAAATGTTAAGAAAATTGTATTGGAATATGGAGTATCAGTAATTTAATTATTGAATGAACCTACGACAGGTCCAGCAAACCAGTAGGGAATTTATTTGTTCAACTGATATTGTTTGAAAATTATGGAGGAAATTAAAGGAAAGGTACAATTCTATCAGCACTGTTAAAACCAGAAACACTCATAACGCATCGAAAAAGTGAACAACAACAGTTACAGCAAAAAGCAGACGTGAAATATTCAGTACTTGTGCTGTTGGTGGACTAGAAAATAAACAACCAAAACGAATTGAATTAATGAAGGTCATGCAGGTCAGCAGAATTCCTCGTCTGCTACATTTTGGGTTGAATGGTGCTTGTCTGAAGCAAGTTAAATAATTTAAATATCTAGGAAGTATATTCTCAGAGGTCGTGAGAATAGATTGGCAAATAGAAACAAGATGCCAAAGAGCCAGTGCACTAATATACCAACTGACACCATTGTTAAGACATCCAAACATAAGTATGAGCGCCAAAAAAACAGATTATAAACAGCACAGCATACCAACACTGTGCTACCTGTGCCAGACTTGGACATTATCACATACTAATCTACATCAAATAAAAACCTGTAAAATGAGATGCATGAGAAAAGCCACTAACTTAACCATTGAAGACAAAATTACAAATGATATTATCAGACAGACTGTAGGACAAAACCTTGCAGCAAATTCTTTGAGAAACAGAAGATCAAATGGTTTGGTCATCTAGTAAGAATGCAACTACCAATGCAGGCATTACACATGAAAAGCTTTGAAGTGAAAGCAAGAGGCCGCCCTGGATTGATGACTGTAAGGAGTTACATCGACACAGGATGACAGTAAAGAGTTACATCGGCACAGAATGACAGTAAAGAGTTTCATCGACACAGAATGACAGTAAAGAGTTATATTGGCACATAATGACAGTAAAGAGTTTCATCGACACAGAATGACAGTAAAGAGTTACTTCGACACAGAATGACAGTAAAGAGTTACATCGGCACGGAATGACAGTAAAGAGTTACATCGACACAGAATGACAGTAAAGAGTTACATCAACACAGAATGACAGTAAAGAGTTACATCAACACAGAATGACAGTAAAGAGTTACATCAACACAGAATGACAGTAAAGAGTTACATCAACACAGAATGACAGTAAAGAGTTACATCGGCACGGAATTATAGTAACCATTGCTGCCCATCAAGCAGTGGATGGCAGACTGTTCCTCCCCACAACACTTAATGGCAGAAGTGGAAATTAATGACAATGATGATTGTTTGATTTACAGATAAAACATGAAAACATTACACATGAAAAGCTTTGAAGTGAAAGCAAGAGGCCGTCCTGGATTGATGACAGTAAAAAGTTACATCGACACGGAATGACAGTAACGAGTTACATTGACACAGAATGACAGTAAAGAGTTACATCGACACAGAATGATAGTAAAGAGTTACATTGACACAGAATGACAGTAAAGAGTTACATCAACACAGAATGACAGTAAAGAGTTACATCGACACAGAATGACAGTAAAGAGTTACATCGACACAGAATGACAGTAAAGAGTTACATCGACACAGAATGACAGTAAAGAGTTACATTGACACAGAATGACAGTAAAGAGTTACATTGACACAGAATGACAGTAAAGAGTTACATCGACAGAATGACAGTAAAGAGTTACATCGACAGAATGACAGTAAAGAGTTATATCGACAGAATGACAGTAAAGAGTTACATCGACAGAATGACAGTAAAGAGTTACATCGACAGAATGACAGTAAAGAGTTACATCGACAGAATGACAGTAAAGAGTTACATTGACACAGAATGACAGTAAAGAGTTACATTGACACAGAATGACAGTAAAGAGTTACATCGACAGAATGACAGTAAAGACTTACATCAACACGGAATGACAGTAGCCATTGCTGCCCATCAAGCAGTGGATGGCAGACTGTTCCTCCCCACAACACTTAATGGCAGAAGTGGAAATTAATGACAATGATGATTGTTTGATTTACAGATAAAAGAATGCTGAAAAATTAATGTTTTATTATCCCTGTGTCCACAGATTGAGTACATAGTTGGTACACATGGTCTGGTTGTAATCACCAGGTACGGCTCTGATCCGCTGAAATTTATTTATGAATCGGACATTTTAACCAAATTTCAAGTAAGCGCAGCATCTTGTATTTATTCAAAATTGCTGTTATAATAGTATTGTTTGTCTCAAGTTTATATCCCAGTATTTGTTTCAGAGTCCTTTTCTGGTTGGGGGAGGAGGTTGATATCACAGCCCAGCTGTAAACCACAATACAGTATGTCACCAACCCCTTTAAGAGTGAACACAAAAGAAGAAACAGGAGGTGACAAAGGGAAAAAAAGAAGATGAAGAAGACACACAAAAAAAGATGAAGATAAGGAAATATCTGATTTTATGGTCATCATTATCTTCAAATTTTTGTGTTTAATATCGTGGGAAGGAATAGTTGGTGATCAAGTGCTGTGTGGGTGGCCCTGGTAATTGTCATTCTCTGTTAATGTACTGTCTTTTATGTCATCTGTGTTTCCCATGTCACAGGTGGTGCCTCACATCAGACTGGTCCCGAGAAGCCATATAATGCTAGTCATCAGCCCTCAAAAGAAGGCAGGGGCAGAACATGAGCATTCCCTGCCATCCAAGGAGGCTTCCACAAATGCAGAGATAATACATGGTGATTTAGTACTGGACTCACCCAAGGAATTGTCACGTCCTAACTGTTTAACCTCACTTCCATATAATGAACATTTCATTCATCACAAGCTATATCTTTGGGAGCAAGCAGTAGGCAGCCTGCAGACCTGGGATTTCAATTAACTACACAGAATGAGTACTTCTCTTCTTTTGCATGTTAGAATTTTAGTGCAGTGGACTTCTGCATCTACTATAGTCTCATATGCCATTCAGGTGGCACTTTAATCCACTCCTCTCCTCGCCTAATGTTCTCAAGGATGCAGACCTCACATAAATGCCTAGGGACATCGAGTGTGGCAGTATACAGACAGATGGGTCTATTCCATTCTTTGTCCCACATCATGGTTTATGAACTCTGCATTTCTAGGGACTATCAGCTGTGAGAATCCCTGACAGATTTCTTCTTCTTATGCCTTCAAACGTCAGTGTAAATATATTTAAAGAAATTAGCAGTCAATTTGAGGTTGTTGACATCTCCATAAAGTCTGTCCTCAAAAGGAGCGGGTGCCAGCCAAAATAATTATCTCTGTTGTGCACATGTTAGACACTCTTGCAGCAAGTGTTTAGCTGTCATTTTACAATTTCCAGTTACAATCATCAGCATCTCCTATCTTTGGCTTATTGAACAAGTGATGTTTCCTGTGCAGAATCTAAAGATCACTACTTGATCTATTTGGTCAAGTTGGTAGTATGCATCATCCTTCTTGTGGCCTTGGTTTTTCTGCAGTTGTTTGTCTGCTGTCCTTCTGCCTTATTCAACTTTTTCCTGCAGACTTTGTAGTTCTTAGGTCGAATATAGTTTGTAATTTTTCCTCGTACCTTTTGGAAGGCACTCATATTCTGCGTGCATTACAACGTATTACACTCTCTTTTAAAGTAGAAGCTGGGTTTGTCTTCTGGTTTGTTGATTAAATGGAGATTAGAGTCTAATTCCAAGTTGTACATTTCATCTCCTCTGGTGTCCTTATCTAGGTATCTCCATCTCTATGAGCAGCTATAAAAGTGTCTATTATACAGTTTGTGTTTTTTATTTTCAATCTTGAAAGTGTAAGATGTTTATTTGCTGGGCTATATAAATTGTGTATTCTGATTTACTTCTCCTTTATCACTATAGCAACGCTTGTAATTTCTGATTTGTTATTAGAGTTCACAGGTACTTCACTGTTTGGGACTGAGTTTCAAATAAGTATTCAAACTCCTCCCTTGTGCCCTTTTCGGTCATAGCATATAAGTTGATATCCTCTGACTGAAAGTCTGTGATGTGCATTGAGGTGTGTCTCTTGGATGCATGTGACATCAATTTTGTCTAAATGAATGCGTTTTGACAGAGCCAGTTTTTATTTAGAACTCCTTCAGCTTTGCACTTAGTATTTTGAGGGTCCTGGAATGTTGATCAATAGTTTTACCCTGATGCCCTGCGCTTTGACTCCACAGCACAGGGGAAAGTGCCCACCAGTAGTGTTGGGTGGACCCCTTCAAGGCAAGGGGCCCGGCACTATCTCTGCTGGTGGCGCTTCATGAGATTAGCACCATATGGATATATTTTCATTTGTGACATCATGAAATTTAGGCGTGTTTCTTCATCTGGTTCCTTTCCTTCGATCTGTTTGACATGAGAGATCCTACCAGTGGCTAAACTACTGTTGGCATAGCTCTTAGGGTCATTGGAACACACAAGCTCCTCTACCACTGCAAGGTGGAGTTACATTAGAAGGGGTCTTGGATGCTTAAATTGGCAGCTTTCCCACAGCTCTCAACCAGCCAGGCATGATGTCAACCGCCAAATCCACTCCCACCCACCTGTTCGAGGCCGCCCCAGGCAAACTCTACTAGTCCTTCTCAGTACTAGTAGGCATCCACTCCCAATCAGTGATGCAGAAACCAGCAAGGAATTAGGCGTGAGTACACGTCACCAAACAAAATCAAAACCGCAAATAAAACCAAGCACCCGAGGCAGGTTGAAGCGTTCAATTTTTTTGTTTTTTTTTTACTTTTCAACGTCAATGTCAACGTCAGTTAAAGTTCTGAGTAAATGCACGTATAATTATTGTAGATCACAGTGGTTAAAATCTAAGGAATTAAATGGTGTGATAGAATCACTGCTTTGGAAGAGAAATGAACATATTCCAGTAAATCAAAAGGTGAAAAAAAAAAACACTGGCACTGGATATGAAACACTGAGAAAACCTGATAACAATATAATGAAATAGCAGCCGACCAAAAAATACACACACATGGAGAAGGCAACTAGAGAGTGCTGTTAAAAAGGTGGTGAACACCTGATTTGAGATGCATGAGAGAGCAAAGGACAGGACAACCTGACATGAAGTGGTTGAGGGCTTATGCTTCATGGGGGGGGGGGGGGGGGGGATATAAGGTCAGAAGAAGAAGACTCAAAATTGTGAAGTTTTTTTTTTTCAACTTGTCTGTAGTCTTATATTATTTTTACAAGATTTGCCCTGTTGAGTGTTTCTTACAGGCGTATTTCATTCTCTTATTTTAGGAAAACATATTTATAGTGACTGAATGGATTTACAATGATATCAGCTCAACAAAAGTTAGGTATGTATGCATTTTAAATAACAGTAAATGTTTCTTTATCTTCTCCTCCTTAACCTCTTCCTCCTTCTTTTTTCTTTATCTGCAGAGAAATAAGTACAGACTTCAATGGGTTACTTAACAAAGATGTCAGGTCAGGTGAATAAAATTCTCAATGTATGAACAAAAAATATATTTACAGATACAAAAATTATGTGTACACATCTCAGATAATTAAAGAGAAATCTTTAAAACCATGCTATTAATCTTTCAGGTATTTAAAAAAAAATAATTCAGAACAGAAACCTTCAGTGATCAATGTATTAATTTTATGTAATTAGTGACCTTGAGTTTTGTCCTATCAAAATGGTTACAAACTACATAATGAAAACATTTTCACATGTCTTTATTGGTATATTTTGAATGTTAAAAGAATAGAATTTGTGCTGCTGTTATTTTGTTTTTTATTTAGGCCCAGTCATTCATTGAGTTGCCTTGTATAGATTAACAATTTTCTGAGCAGGTTGAAGGGGAAAAGACAAAAAAAGACAGTTGTGTCAAGAATGCATTTTTCAAATCGATTGGCAATGGAATGGCAAGAACTGTAGAAAGGCAGTAAATTGATGGCCGATTGAACAAAGGACAATTTTACATAGTTGAAAATTAACTGCTTGATGCTACACAAATGATTATTGTTTTTGTTTTATTTAAACTAATCTGAGAAGATTGTTTTCTTTTTTTCTGAATGAAAAAAAACACACATATAATCAGCTTTTTGTAAAAGTGTCACTCATTTCCATGTTGTATTTTGTGTATCTATTTTTTAAAATTATTAAGTTGTTGCTTGTGAAGCATAAAAGTAGCAACTACTGTCATTCATTAATTTATGTTATTTCACTATTCCTGACTTCTAATTAAATAATTCAGTTTAGTTTCTTTAAAGCCTAAAATATAAACTGAAGAAATATTCATTGTTAATCATTAACTTTTTGAATCTGTTTACACAGGAGAGCATTACGTCGTGGTGAAAGTGTGAAATATGTACTGCAAGATTCTGTGATAGACTACATTCGAGAACATCATCTGTATGGTGTTCCTGATAAGTAAGCATCTGTGATTACTTGGAAAACTTGATTATCTTGGAGCATGTTGGCTTATTTCTGTTGTTTAGGCATCAGGGAATTATTGTGCCTAGCAGTGTTGATGCTGGCTGAGATTTGTTTTTATTTTCTGACTACTAGCAATGCTAATCCTAGTTGAATTTTGAATATTAGTATTTTGTGATTTATAACTTTCTTTTAAAAGTAGGTTTCATGCGCAGTATTTAACATGTAGATTAAAATACTGCCATAAATTTGTGAAATGTCATTAGGCATATATAAAGTTTATGAGAACAAACAATTAGATGTAGACTTTGGAGTTTGTTTGGACTTGTTATAAGAATAAATGGACTTGAAAACTTTCTGACAACTGACAAGATTGATGGAAAGAGAGTGAGAGGAAGGCAGAAAAGGAAATACCTGGATGGCTTGGCCACGTAGGTGTGGCAAAAGAAAAACACTGACCTGATCCGTGATTGTGATGTTCGTGTGAGATCATGAAACATGACAGCCTAAGCTAACTAACAGGGCACATGATGACGATGATATATGAAGTTTGGATTGCTAGAGTTTATCCTGGTGCATTACTTTTTTGAATTGTGTAATCATTGAACCAATAAGAAGCAGTAGCAAACTACCCAATATAACAATGCCAGGTAAAACTAATAACATCTAACAAATGCTGGGGATGGTTTACAACTTCTTGTAAAAGATAGGCAGCTAAATCAAGGGACTTGGCTTCATTGCTCTTGTCTTTTTTTTTTTAAACTGTTCTTTGGCTAAGAAAACACAGTTTTGTCACTTGGTTTTCTACTGCTCACTTCAGTCTTAGAAGTCAGCTATCCTTTTCCTGTGTGCCATCTCCACAGTGGAAGTTGGCTGTAGTGGATGTGTGTATCCACTGCTGCCTTTGAGAATATTATGCTGTTTTAAGGCCCTGCAGTCTCTTCCTTGGTGTGACTCTTACACGGCTAACCAAAAGACACAAGAACAGTCAGCCATTGTGATGCTTGAGTGTAATCTTCTACCTCTTAGCGTTCCCCAGTGGTAAACTCCAGCAGAAAATGCTGGTTGTTCGGCACCTCCTAGCCTTTAACCAGAACTTGGGTTTTTGCCTGCAGATCCATGCGACCAGTTTGACTTTTTTGTGTGCAGACTGTTCCTTCCTTGCTCTCAAGCAGATGCACTCTGACTTGAAAGAGATAACCCTAGTAAGTTGCGTGTTGGAGGGGGGGGGGGGGGGTCGGTATATTCTTTGTTCTCCAAAATGGAGCCCAGAACTCACATGGGGACTTGAGTATGATGAAGAGAGAGTTCAGTAAAGAAGCAGAAATGCCATCTGTGATCTCTCAACCAAGTGAAATTTTCTATTGTAGCAGGTGTTTCTCATTATTCACCTAAACTTTTTATACAGAGAGACTTTTTATTTCGTAGCTGGGGGAGGTGGGGGATATTTGACAGATATCAACAGCTTTAAATGATCTAAAAAAGTAATTGTTTCCTCACATTTGCAGCTGAATAGTTTCAGGATCTTCAACTTTTGGCTACTATTTATTAGTGCAGATATGTTTTAGTCTTCAGCTGAAGCCATTTGTATATATATATATGTATCTTTTACTAGATCACAGTCATGTTTAACAAATACAAAGACAGCTAGCTGTATTTGCAGCTTGCTCAATTCATTTTATATCAGTTTCTGTTTTTAATAATAAAGCCAAATAAAAAAGATGATAAAAAATAAGGGAAAAAGAATTTAAATCCATTTTCTGAAATCCGGCTTTTTTTTTTTTTGTGTGCACAAATATTCCCTCTATTTTTCTTGAAGATAGCAGATTTGATATTTAGTGCTTTCCTTGCATATTGCTAGGCTTTTTTTTTTTTACTTTGAAAACAGGATATTCCTAATATTTAGCTAGGAAAACACTTTGGAGGAAAGGTACGAGCAATGATATATTTTAATCGCATACAAAGCATTTAATTATGAATCTTATTTAACCAAACTGATTGCAAAGGCTGTTTATTTATGCTATTTATTAATGAAGCTTAGCTGAGAGACAATGATTGTATTCAGAATCTGAGGCCATTCAGACAACCTAAAATACAAATTGAGCACACTATAGGGATAGGTGCGACAGTATCATAGACAATTAAGAAATTGGAATTAAGATACCTGCAGTTGACAAATAAAGGAACATTGATGATAAAGAATTAAGAAGATCGAAAATTCAGCTTTAAATTGATGGGCATGTATGAATTCTTAAAATCAGAGGTAATTTAAAAGTTTATCAATGGTAGTAACGGGTATAAAAGTTAATTATGCAGTTGTTTTATCTTGATTTATGTGTTTTTGTTTTTTTAATTGTAACAAATGAGACAGTGATGTATATTAAAACAGAAAACAATTGGTGTCACCGTCTGCTTTAGTTGTTCGCTTTAAAGTGTACAGCCTTCATGTTGTTTATTGCACGTGTGGTTTTTTTACATCAATGTTATTGACTAAATTTACGTCAGTTTAACTAGCCTTTCATAAATGTTTCAAACTGTGTTACTGATTATTTTTATATTTTTACTACAATTGATTCCTTTAGAACAGTATTGAGAGTATAAAAACATTCTTATTTTTTCAACTTGTTCTGTATAAATCACCCGTAATACATTTATTGGTTACCCCAAAGACAGCCCTCTAGCTTTCTTTTGTGATACATTATGACATTCTGTTATGTTTGTTATTGCTCCTTCTGTCCCACCAGTTTATTATTTTAATTCCTCATACACAAACATTCAGGTAAAATCAGGTTAATCAGAGGTAGAGTAATAACATGCAGAAGCTGAAGGAATTCTAGTGTCATTTATTCTCTCTTCTTCTGTCTCGTCGTCACTACCTCTTCCACCTTTTGCTCCATCTGCGCCTCTGCCTACACTTATTCTTTCTAGGCATGCAGGTGTTGTTGGCGATGAAAAAGCTGATAGATTGGCAGGTTCTGCATAAGTTTCAGACAGCTGGCCTATGGATCAGGCCGACATTGTCAGTGCCCTTTGAGAGATGGGACATTCTGAGGATTTTGGAAGCAGTGTGTCCATATCACTGCCAAGAATATGAGAATTGGGAGTTAAGATCGACACAGTCAGGCATTAGAGGCCCAACCAAGCACGAGAGGCACACCGGATGCACAAGACGTTTTTTCAACTAGCATAGGAAAAGCACTATTAACCACGTGACCTATGGATGTGTCAGGAGTGCTGTGAAGATAATCCAACTCATAACTCCTCTTTCAACTTATTCAACTCATTCTGTTTGATTTCTCCTCTTCTTCATTCGTCTGTGTCTTCTAATTTCCATCTACTTCTGCCTTTTCCAGCAACCTCTACTTTTCCTGCTTCTCATTTTCCTCATCTTTCAGCTTCACATTCTACTTCTCTTTCTTCTCCCCCACCTATTTTTCCTTAAATTAAACAGATTGGCATTGTATTATAATACCAAAATGGCAGCTGTCTGTTCATACAGGATCTCAGTTTTGTACATGCATGAAGTCAGCATCATACTTTTTTCCCAGTTCTGAGAACTGTATCATGTGAATCAAACCAACAACTCAGGAAATCTGTCACTAAAGGGAAGGAGAGAGGTGGTGGTGAGGTATCTATCTACAGAAATTAACAAATATGTTCTTTAGAGATTTACTTGAGTAGAAACGTGAAGGGCCCCTTTCATACCACTGGTGACTCAGACATATGATGCTTGATCCATGTTTTATTAATTGATCGACACTCCTTGAGCTGAGTGCAGTCAACAATTGATATCACAGCACTCAGGGCATTCTCATGCACGCTCAGTCCTCATCTTCAACAGCCAGCACAGAGTTCCAATACTAACTGTATCTGTTATAATCTGGTTATATGTCCAAAATCGACACTTGGCACTCAGTGAGTAATATTTTTAGTATCACATTGGCCCAGTTTAGGCGGGAAGTCAAGGTCAGTTATAAAAACTCTGTCCTAGGGTGATTTGAGCCAATAGTCTTTAGATCAGTAGGCAGAAGTCTAGCCATTGTGCTACTGCAGCTCCCGATCTATTTAAATGTAAATCAAAATATTTTCTATAGATCCCCGCATGATGCTCAGGATTTAATTTTGTTACAAAAATGGGGGGGGGGGGGGGGGGGGAGATATATACCTACTGGCCCTAATATGCATGTTGTAAAAGACAAATAATTAGGGATGTTTCCTTCCAAGTGCATCTGCCTGAGCAGCGAGGAATCAACAGTCAGGATACAAATAAGCCAGATCTGTAAAACAGATGTGCACACAAACTCTTGTTCTTATAGAAGTGCAAAATCCGGAAGTGGGTAAACTTTCCACCAGAGTTTACAGTTGGTGAACGATAAGAAGAAGAAAAAGTTTTATGGAGATTTACTTAAAGACTAGGGTGGCCAGTTCCTTTACTTGCCACTAAACCCAAAGAAGTCTCAGGACAAAAGATAAACATTTTCTAGAACTAAGTTATCACACTTTAAGTCCAGGTTGATTCCCAAGTCCTTGCTATCAGGTCCTGAGACAAGCTTCAAGTCACCAAGAATGCTTCTAAGTCGAGTCCCAGGTCAGGTCACTTCATGTTTTAAGTCATTTGTAAGTTGTGCCAGAACGATGCTTATGGAAGAATTAGCAAATGGTGAAAATACAATATAGGAAATGGTAATGTGAAAAACTGAACTGTGTCTGTGTATTTATATATGCATGCGGAAGATCTCTAATGTGATAAATCAAAACATAATTTATTCTGTCATGTTTTTTATGAAGACAATATAAATTACTTCAAAACCCATACTGGCCGACTGGGAAGAAGAAGTCTTACCAAGTTGTCGAAGATACAAGTCACAAGTTGAGTCACGGGTTGCTGGATAAAACCCCAAGTTGAGTTGCAAGTCAATAATTACATAAATTAAGTCGCATTCGAGTCCAGGTCGCACCACTCGAGTTCCGACCTCTGGTATTTAGTACTAGGCCGCCACATATTCAAGGGTATAATGTAATATGTTGTCAACTATTGATGACCTTACTATTTTTAATATAACTGTGATTATCAATAATTTATATGAATATTGTAAATAAAACATTAGGTATAGTTTTTTTTACAGCAGTGTTAATGTTCTGTAATAAATACAATTTAAAAAATAATTTATTTTACTTTTTTCCTTTGTTTTAATGTTATTTTTTGTTTTCTGTTGAGCATGAATGTTGTTTTATAAGTTGTAGTAAATATACATAATCATCATATGCTAAGTTGATCAGTGTAGGTGGTCCTGCTTCGCCATCTCACACACCTTTACCTTTGGGCCTAATGCATGGTTTCTAACTGGGCCATTGTGTAAAACAGGGTAGTACTTTGGAAACATTATAACGGTTATAAGTGAGAATTTGTATTTAAAAAATAGGTTAAAATTATTTGTCACAGAATCGAAGAAAGAATTTGATACATATTAACTCTTTGAGTCCCAGGGGATTTAGCATCCCAGGCCCAGGAGGTAGTAAAGAAAGTAATAAAATCGGTGCATCATGCGTTCTTCAGGCTTCTAGGTAGGAACATGTGATGCGTTCCTTGGGACTCGAGTTAAAGAGCATTGTTTGTAACTAATGGTTATTGTAATTTTCTTGCTTTCAGTTCATAAAATGGAAACAACATTATCTTTAAAACTATTCCCTGGGCTGGTTTTTCAGTGTTTCCTAATTCTATAGTTATTATTATTATGTGTTTATAAGTTTAAACTAATGCAACTTTTAGACATCTAGAGTTGAACTATATAGAATAGATAAAACACAAGAAGCACATAAATATAAGGTGATCTATGATTAACCCCTTAACTAGGTAATTTGTGTATGCATGACTACTTACACAGTTTATTGGTGACTGTGCCCGGGTCACAAGGAGTATTTTCCACAGAGGGAAGAAATTTAAGTAGAAGAGGAAATCTCTTTTCATTCATTCTTTTACAAACTTTAGCTTCAGACCAGTCGGTCTTAAACAGTGTGCTAGATTAGAGTTGGCTTAGGGTTTGTGCTGCAGTAAAGGATGAATAGTCTCGCCTCCATTGCTTAGCATCCCCTGGCTGTAAACTCCAGTGGAAAGTTCTGGTTATTCATCCACTTCTGAACTTTGATCTTGGTCTTGGACTTGAATTTTGTTTGCACCTCCATTTTATAGATCTGGCTTTTTCGTATACAGACTATTGGTTCCTCATCTCTCTGGCAGATGCACTCAGACTTCAAAGGAAACACCCCCTAATTAGTCACCTTTTATGACATGCTGTTTAAGCAGACAGTGGGTCTATTTTTTTTTTTCTTCATAAATGGAGCCCCAGAACCACCATGGGAGATGAAAAGCTGAAGATGGAAGAAACCATTTTATCACTCAATAGATAAAGACATCTTGCACTGTAAAATTGTGAAACAAATGCAGATTTTCCAAATGACTGAATCAGATAGTATTTCAGAACACAGGACTTAGGTATGTGCACAGACAAGTGCCTGCATCAATATATGTATGTTTAAAACAATGTGGGTTACATCTGTAATGAAAAAAATCAATAACAATTAATAGAAGAATATAATAATTTTCACATTTGTTTTAATAATGGAGGCTTTTTTTTAAAATTGATGGTCTGAAATAAGAAAATTCATTATCAAAACTAATCTAATCAAAGCCGCTGTGATGTAGCAGCTAGACACTTGCCCATGGATTGGAAGGTCGTGCTCTGAGCTCTTGAGCCAGACTTTTTTCAAAAATGACATTGGCTGCCATGTTGACACAGCCTTAAATAGGTACTGGCCAACGTCCTGGAAAGTAAAGGCAGCTCACATGATGCTGGGTACATCACCAACAATCTGCGATTGGTCTATAAAGTATAGGTCTAGCCCTATATGCCCAGTACGCCTGAAAGGTGTGGAAAGAGTCCTTTACTAAACCTACCTATATGCCCAGTACACTTGAGAGGTGTGGAAAAGGGTTGTTTACTTCATGTGCGGGACAATTTAGGAAAAGAATTCAGGGTATTTAAGTAAGAATGTTGACATTTATGTTTGGTAAAGAAATCAGGGAACTTATTTTTAGTAACACATATGGTCTTATCTTTTGCACGCATCTCATTGGACAACACAGTAAGTACATCAATCACATGATGCCATCTCCTAATCAAGAAGGTAATACAGAAGCAGAAGAGAAAGATTCTAATTCAGGGGAAATAAGTGTTGTCCTCAGATCAAGTCAAGACAGCTACAGTTCTCTGCACTTGCCTCTGCACCGCATGTCGACCAATCTGGATAAAAGATCTCCAGCTAAAGGAACAGTATCCGGCAGAGTTCCCTGTTTCACAGATATCGGCATGTTGGTAAAAAGAGTAAAAAATGTCCGTGTTGGGTTCACACCAGAAACTTGTGTTTAATCGGATTGTTTGTTTATGGGTTTACATAGATCTAATCTGTCGACTATGATACATTTTAGAATGAACAAATGACAATCTTCAAATCAGAACCACACACATACAGTTCACTTGGGAGACTATCACTCAGAAAGGATAGAAAAGCAGGCAAACCGACAAACTTTCTGTCCAGTGGAATCTATTCCTTTATTTAACATGTTCAGAAAACAAAGACCTTTCATGTCTAATTTTTCTGATCTGTTTACTGTTTTCATATGTCTTGAGGAGGACAGCTTTATTTGTTTTTATGTCATTCCATGACATTCTTTGTATTCTCCTCAAAAACCACATCTTTGCTGTGAGTAAATGTTTTTCTGGAGTTCCACAACTCAATAAATGTCACTATGGGGTGTATTTTTTGTATCTTGTCCCCTGGATTGTGTCTGCCAGTATTAGCAGTAATATACCTCTATGCCTCATATTATTACATTGCCAAAATAACCATCTTTATATGTATGATATTTAGTTGTTATTGTATCCATGTCTTTAAGAACTTCATCCCTTTTCTGTCTGTATGTACCTACTATACTTTACTCATTTGTAGCCCTTATCTGTACAGGTCTGTAAATTAGATGGTAGAACTTGATGCAGCTATTATGAGTACTCTAATTGTATGATATTAATTTGAGGTTGAACAGGTGTAACTGGTATTTGCTCTGTTAGTTTACCATCAGGGATGTGACTACTGAAGCTGCAGGGATGGTCACACCTTTAAGTAGAAGCCTGAAAAGGGGGAGGGAAACAGATAAGTCTTGATTAAGACTAAGATAGACAGACTTTACCTTATGGCTGATCGACTGATCGATCCACTTGATGTCTCTGAGCTGCTACTGAAAGGCAGACCAACAAGGCAGATCCCAGATACCCTGTTCAGCCTCCAGAGAAGTTATAATTATTGCTTCCTTATGTCTACATCAGCCAGATGTAACATACCATCCTGTGTGGTTAAAGACGAGCATGCCAAGAAACAGGGTCCTTTACTGTCCTACAATTGAAGAAAGCCATGTATCATCCTCACTGTTGTCATATGTCATTGCAGTGTAGTAGTTAGCAAGCTTACCAATTGAGGCGATGGTCCAGGTTCAATTCCTAAAAGTGGTAGAATTGTTTTTAATTAATATGGCTATAGGGTCGGAGCCGCAGCGGCTTAGTGGCTAGATGCTTGGCGCACCATTTGCCTTGTGCTCTGAAGGTCGTGGGTTCATTTCACGGGTGCATTGTTTGGTTCATGATTGCAGTTTTTATGAAGATCGCTGGCAGAGCTACAGAGTTTGTGCTTTGTGCAATACTCTTGCAGGTGGCTAGTTATTCTGCAGAAACAGGCCGAGCCACATGGCATAACACCTGATGCAGTGAATTTAAACCTCTCAACTTAAACTTCAACTTTCTATTATAACGTTGTAATATTAGAAATAGCACATCTCACCGCCTTATAAAACTTCACTTTGTTGCATTCGTTATTGAATGACCGTGACTTGCTGGTTATCTGCTGACAACAAAACAAAGATTTTAAGATTAATTATTTGGACCATGTTGTGTTTGTTAAATGTACTATAAATGTTTGATAATTTTAATATTTACTTATGCATAATAAATGTTGATCATTGAAGTATCTTAAATGGAGTGGCCACCTATATAAATATACAATGTCTGCACATAAATGCATATATGCATGCACTTACACACACACAAGTACACAGACACACACACACACACAGAGACCTTTTTTTTAAATCTGGCAGCACGTAACAGTACACAGTACTGGTACCTGTAATAGACACTTTGTTGTGAGTACTGGCACCTTTTTTTTTTAAAAGAGATTTTATGGTGAGCACTGGAACCTTTTTTCTTCCAAAAAAAAATGTGTGCGTGTGCATGTCTGTCTGTGTGTGTATAATATATATATATATATATATATATATATATATATATATATATATATATATATATATATATATATATATATATATATATATATATATATATATATATATAAATATATATATATATATATATATATATATATATATATATATTAAATATATATATATATATATATATATATTAAATATATATATATATATATATATATATTAAATATATATATATATATATTAAACACCAGTTGAGCAGACATCAGTATGAATACAAGTTCCAAGTATAGATACATACAACCAGTGAAGCGGACACTATGATGGATACCTAAAGCTTACTTTTTAACATAACTGTTCTCAACATAAGACAAAACTAAGCCATACTTATATAGCTTCAGCATTACTGTATAATAGAAGTATTATTAATAATTTAATATTTTAAATATTTGATGTTTTTGCCAAAGACAGTGTGTGCATTAGAATTGTCCATGAGATTTGTGGACCAATGTCAGTGATTTATTCATATTGAAGCTGTGTATGTTAATTGTGGCTGGCTGGCTGTACTGTACCACACAGGAAGCTTGCTTTTTTTTCAGTTGTCTTTGAGAGTGTTGTATAATTAAAGGAAGCACAAGCAATTGCTCATGTAACTCTTTCTGTGCTGGTAAATAATAAGTGCAGCATCATTTCCCAAGAATTTATGCTTTAAAGCACCCACTTTTCAGATCTCAGTGAATTAACACTTCTTTATCTTCTTATTTCTTTTCATCATCATTCCCTTCTTCTTCTGCTCCTTCCTTCCTTTCTTCCTTCCTGCCTTCCTTCCTTCTTCCTTCTTCTTCTCCAGTTACTAGAACGAAGAATTGATGGAGATACAAGGATCTTCTTTGTGCTCTTTCTAATGTGTTATTAGCTTATCATTATTTCTTTACGCCTGTTGATGTCCTCAGTTCATTTTTATGTGGTCTTCCCCCTGCTGTGTGTTCATTATATTTCTTCAGCCTGGCTGTCTGTGGTAGTTGGTACCAGGGCATTCTCCTCAGATGGCAAAAATATTTCATCTTCTTCTGCGTTCGATATCAGTCATGCTAAACATTGAGTCCCGTCTGGGTCACAAATAGGATTGTGCGTTTAAGGTCGCCACCGGTCCCCCATAGCTTCTCTTGCAATGTGGCTCCTTTGGGCCAGATCCACAGTCTTTGCTGGGAGAGGTAAGGGCAGTACTGCAGTATGTGTTCAGGGGTTTGTCTTTCTGCTCCACAATCACAGGCAGCAGATTCTTTTATGCCTATCCTGTACATGTGTGCTCTAAGACCACAGTGTCCAGTCCGAAGTCTAAGAATTGATGTTTGTTCTTTCCTGTTGAGTTTGTTTATGCTGTCACTCTCTGGTCTGTAATCTCCATTCTGCCTTCTCCACTCCCGCTTGAAAGACTGCTTTAGCGCTGTTTTGGTTTCCTTGTAGCTGTGTGGTGGATGAGGTTGTGGAAGATTACTCCCCAGCTTTTGCCAACTCATCTGCTCTCTCATTTCCTTGAATACCACAGTGGGCTGGTATCCACTGCAAGACCAGTTCTGCTTCCTTGGAGAGTAAGCCAATGTTGGTCCTTAGATCAGCAATTATTTTGTCTTGTTTTTTGCTGGATAGTGCTTGGAGAACAGACAATGAGTCGCTAAGTATAACAATTTGGTGCCCTCTGTGTTCTTGAGTGATGAGATGTTGGACTGCAGAGAGGAGAGCAGTTGCCTCAGCTCTGAAGTTAGTGCAGATGTCACCTGCTGGTAGAGAGAGAGTTTCTGCTCTACTGCTAGGGGGTTTAATGTAAATTCCACAACCCCCCTTTCTGACTGCATCTGTAGCAGAGCCGTCGGTGAAAACCTGAGTCCAAGTGGTGTTTGGATACTTCTCATCAAGCATAGCAAGAGCCAGGGTTCTCTGTTGTGTCTCCGTCTGGGCATCTTTTGAAGTGATTCCTGGTACCTTTAGGACTACATTTGCTTTCTCTGGCTTGCTTGTCCATGGTTCTGGCCTAAGTTTTTGGCACAGTGCAACATCTCTTTCAAGCAGATCTTGGTGCTGTCTGTACAGTTCTCTAGCAAGGTGGTTGGGGCTCTGACGCTTCAGTCTGTTTTTTGTTCTCTCTTGAAATATTTCATCTGTTATTTAGTGTATTGTAGGTTTCAGTCAGTCTTCTTTGTAATTTTTTTTTTCCATTTTTAATTGTATCTCTTATCAAGGCAGCTCTTCTAAGACAACTCACTCTGTTGTTATGAGTTTGCACGCTTTATTTGTACAAGCCAACAGTGTCACTCATAAACTAACCCAATTTTGAAACATCTGACTATCCTAGTAGAGATAAAAGGACAAATTAATTAAAAATCTTCATACCAATGTTGTTCTGTCAGTATCAGACTTGGACATTGACTAGAGAACATGAAAGAAAATAACCACATGTGAAATTAGACGTTTGTGAAAGTCCGTTGCCGATCGAGAAAAGATCATGTGAGAAATGAAGAAATTACAAGAACTATTGGCACAGCATTATTATTCAGTGCACTGAAAAACAGACGGAAAAGGTTTATCCTCCTAATAAGAATGAATCCAATGATGCCAGCAATGAAAGCGTACAGCATGAGAGTAGTGACACCAAGACATAGGGGACCACCAAGAAGAAGATGGATTGTAGGAGTCAATGATACCTTGAGACTCCACAACATCACAGCATACTGGGCAACTGAGCATGTCATAGCTTGGAAATTCATCATCTGTTAACCTGCGACGCCTAACGGCACAAAGCAGAAAAGGGATAAAAGAACGAAAGTTGTACCAACTTTGTGGGCGATAGACAAAACAAAGCTAAAAATCTAGATGGAGTAAATTAATAGTTGTCTGTGACCCAATGCAGCTAGCGTAACTCTCTTTCAGCTCACCATTGAATGTAAGATGAATTGCTTGGTACAGAAGGAGTTGATGTGGCGCACGCAGATTTTGGCTAAAAAAGGGCACAGCTTTTAACTGATTTACAAATCCTCAAGCAGTCATCCATCTGAAATGGAAATCAATCATTTTTTGATTCACATGGAAAACATC